CGGGAGGAGGAGAAAGAAGCCGGTGCCGAAGAGGTGGGTGCAGCGGGGCGGGGGGGTGTCGGGCGCCCTCCGGGGAGGGTGTTTCCCCCGGTAACACCTGGGGTCGGCAGCCTGGCAGCCGCTGGGGAGGTGGAGGAAGCTGGGGCAGGTGTGTGGGACCAGGCAGGGTGGCAGAAAACCGGTCTGCGAGAGCCAAACTGGTTATGGGGAAGTGTGTTAGGCTTCTCTGATGCGAGCATTGAAGAAGCAAAAGAGATAGGAAGACAGCATGCTTGAGCTACTCTCTGTTTTAATTAGGGTTAATTGGAGCTAATGCTTTGTAGGCTCTGGCTTGCTGGAGGGAAAATAAAAATCCCGATGATGATTGATTGTCCCGTATCCTCAGTATTCCTGTGAGGAAGCTCATTGGGGAGTTTGAGATGCTCAGCTGTCCTCTGGTTTGAGTTGCAGGCTGGCTTACATTTCAGTGCTTGAGTACATCAAACGTACAGCAATCGCTATTTACCAGAAGATCCCCTATTCCTCAATAATTAACTAGCATGATGCTCAATAGCTCTTATGTAATGCCCCCCTGATGCGTCACTGGAGCTTCCTGACTTTGGGACCCCCATGCCTCCCTCCATACCTGCTCTGAAGTCACATCAGCCTGTTGACCTCAGGTTACCAGGTGTATAGGAAATATTTCTGGGAGTCAGTGGGGGGAGACAGATGAGCTGAGCCCAAGCCTAGGATGAAGGAGGGAGCATCAATGTTATAAATCTATGGTGAGAATGTGAGCCAGAGCCTCTCTTGGGTGTTTATTAGGGAGTCTTAAAGAGGTGTGAAGATGCAAAGGGTAAGTTGCTCTGTGTCAAGCCTTTCTGCTGCTCACCTCAGAGCAGCGATTCCAGCCCCATGGTGGGGCTGGTGTGGCCAGAGTGAGTGTTTGGGCTGGATTTGTGTGGCTCAGGGAGCGGGAGAAGGTGTTTCTTTGGAGCAGAGGGGACCTCGATACCTGGTACTGCATGGCCAACCTTGGGAATTGGAAGAGATTATTTTCTTCTGTGACTGGACAGATCTTGCAGCAGGGTCCTGCTGGGAGAGGCCAGGTGAGCAGGGCTGGGAGCAGCAGGATGCGTGGCCAGCTGGGTGGGGAGGAAACGGATGGGGTGATGGAATTCTCTGGTCCCTCTGCAATTTGCTCAGGGCTTTTTACTTATTAAAAAAAATTAATAAAAATTAGGAGACAATATATCATATCAGGCAACCTCAGCTGTTGTTAATAGTTAATATCACTCTGTACTTGCCAGCAAAAGTGATAAACTTCCTGCTGGGTTCCCTGTTCAAAGGGCAGCTGGGGAAAAACAACACTGCAGCAGCAGCACAGCCTTTGCCCCACTGGGAGCAGCGCTTGCCCTGCAGCTCTGCTCCAGCCCGTCTACACTGGGGTCAGCAGCTTTTCTCAGCAACTTCATCATGAACTTCGTGGCACAGCCACACTGAGTTTTGCACTGTATCCATTTCATAAGACTGTGCCGCATTAGGGCTCCTGGAAACAGAATGGGGGCTCAGACCTCTTTAAAATGCCTTTACCTTGCTTTTTACGTAGGTGTTGAGCTGCTTCATTGAACTCCAGGGTTGTGCTTGGGTAGCAGTGCTCCCTGGGACAGCCTTGGACGGTGACTGGGACCTGCAGAGACCCAGAGCTTTGCCCTGCAGCGTGGATGGAGGCAGCCCTAAGGGCAGGGAATTGAAACAGATTTTAAACATCTAGACCAAGCTTCACTTTTTCTGTGAGCGGGGGAAACATTGTTTCCTGCAGTGCTCACCTGTGCAGATTCTCTGGAGGCTAACAGCGTGGTTGTGCTCAAGCCAATCCCTTTCCCTTGGTAAGTGTGTGTGATGGGGGCTGATGGTTTTCCTGGCCCTGCCTGCTGGCTTGCACAGAGTTCAAGGGAGCTAGCTTCGTAACTGCCTGGCAGAGAGTGAACAGATTTGACAGCGATGAGCACCTGGAAGCTC